TTGTTCGTGCTAACACTAGTGGGATAAAGAGTAGAATCTACAGATTTAGATACAGCCCTGAGAACTTGACTGTCTGGATTTTTGTCTTTCTGTGGTATATGATCACAAGGGGTGGGGTTCTGTTTCATGTCTTTCTTTTTTCTAACACTGACTCATATAAAATGATTCGTACATTAATTAGACCTTGTTGGTTGTGATTTGTCAGCTTAAGTAATGCTGAAAGCTTTTACAGTATCAATATGCATAAGACTGAGTGTTTGAAAGTTCTTATTGTCCGTGAAAGGAAGTGAATAACTGTGAGTACTTTTTAGGATACAGATGTATTGTGCTAGGGACTTTTGTATTTCATGTATTTTCTCATATGTTTTAAACTGAAATAAGTCAAGATTTACTTTTGACAGAATTATAGAGGACAGATCTCCTTAGATGTGGAAGATGGTATGTGTTGGTTTGTAAACTGACCCATTTTCAGGAGAGAAGCTATAAGGGAAGCCCTGGATTGGCCTTTGAAAATAGTCTCTGTGCTTTGGAAGCAACATATTCTTTGTGCAAATGTGTAATTATCTGCATTATAATAAGCACAATAAGGAAAACAACAAAATCCATTAGACAGCACTTAATGAAACATTCAAGTTTGGTTAGGCAGAAAAAAATCAGGGAAGTGGTTTTCAATTGAACTGGGACTCATTATCTTGCTGAAACCAGAGCTGATAAAATGACCATATCTTTTCCATTTGAAGACTATCTGGAAATGTACTAATTTTAATGTGGACATACACACAAAGAACAGGGGTTGAATAAATGTAACATATTCTGTGATCAAAACATATTGCCAGGTACTCTGAGGAATTCCATCGAGTAGATTAGGAAATATGCTTTAGAGAAGTTCTGTTTTGAGCAAATTTATTACCTTGAATGTTTTTCTGGGACTACAGTGAAGAGTATATTAATTGTCTAATTCATCAAATGCCATAAAAGTAGTGAATAGAAGATGAGGTAGTAACCCAAACGTGTCTGACTCAAAAGCAACAGTAAGCTTTAGTTGCTTCACAATATGACGTAAGACTGAAAGGTTGGAGAGCTGTTTTGCTGTTGTCCTCTCTCAGATATACTAACATTTTTCATCAAAGACTATCAATTCAGTAGTCAGTTGTAATAGCACTAGCACTTTTGCATAAGACTGAGTTGTTGTTACGGGGCTGTCGAGTTGATTCCAACTCACAGTGATCCTGCATAGGGTCTCCAAGGAGTGGCTAGTGAGTTTGAACTGCCACCTTGCAGTTCAAATTGATCTTGTGTGGTCCAGTGCATATCCTACAGCAGCACACCAGGACACCGTCAGACTCAGTGAGGCTCCTGTATTCTCAATGAAATATACACTGTAGACATGGGTTTTCCTGGGTTGACTTTCAGCACAGCTTTCTCACCACCACTCATAGCTCTGCTCTTGCTTTGTGTATGACACTAGACAAACGATAAGAATACCTTCTTAACATTCAGTATAAAGAGCGAGCCTCAGTCCATCGTAGATTGCAGCTTCTGTTCTGTCTGTGCCAGGTACCATGCCTTGAATTTGCTCTTGGTAGTTGATTGAGGTTTGAACATTATTTGAAACACATACAACTCATATTGTACACATTCTCCTTGCTTGTACTTTTACTCCAATCTAGGGATTTTTCTTCTGCTTCTCTACTAATTTAATTTTTTTCATCATTCAGGATCTATCTAGCTCATGCTCTTGCTCCTTCCTATTTTTCCAGTTATAGTATTTTTTCTTTTCTTTGAATTTAAATAGAGAAGGGATTTAGAATTTAACCATTTATTATGTGCCAGATACTATAAAGCCACTTAGGTATTTCCTCTTGTGTGCTGGGGAGTCAATTCTACTCATAGTGATACTCTATAAAGTAGATTAGAGCTGCCTGTAGGGCTTGCTGGGAACAGATTGCCTGCTCTTTTCTCCTGTGGAGTGGCTGCTGGGCTCCAACACTGACTATCTGTTAGGGGTCAACCTCTTTAACTGTGACACCACTAGGTTTTTTCTTCGTCTCCCTACGATCTACAGAAAAGGAGCCATCATTTTACAGATAAACTGAGGTTCAGAGAAGTACCTTGCCTAAAGCCACAGAGCCACATTACTCTATAACCTGTACCAGCCTTTTTTCAAAGTTTCATGTGCATACAGATCACCTGGGAATCCTGGTAAAATGTCAGTTTTGATTGTAGGTGTGGATCCCAAATGTGTCTGCCTGTCTATAGCCCTCAGGGGATGCTGTTACTACTCTTCCTTTAACTGCACATTCAGTAGCCAGAGCCTGGTCTGTAATTTATTATTGATTATATGAAACCATGTGTTCTTTTCTAATGGTTTCCTACCTTTAAATAGAGTTTAATCTTTATGGCACAGATTGTTTTATAATACACCTGGCACTAGGATTACATGGTAGGAGGGTGTAGGAATGATGAGGGTATGTGCTGAGTAAATACTTGTTTGATGCACGTTGCCTCAGAAATATATATATATAGGAAAGCAACATCTTGTATTATTCAGAAATATAATCATCTGAATTTTAATTTTCCTAAAAGGAACTGTTGAACCCTGGTGTGGTGCTGTAGGATAAACACTGGGTTACTAACTACAAGGGGGGCAGTTCAAACCCACCAGCCTCTCTCAGAAAACCTGTACAAGGTTGCTATGAGTAGGAATCAACTGGACAGCACACAGTTACAACCATTAAATTATCAAAAGGAACCATTAAAATCACGGAATATCAGCTAATTATTACTCTGGGCCAGTATTATTTTAATCTTGGTCCTTGTGTGCCTTTGTAGGGTAAGCACTTGGACTGCTAACCACAACGTTGGCGTTTCAGACTCACCTTATTCACCTTATTCACCATCTCTATGAGTCGGAACTGACTGAATAAGACCTAGTGGCAGAACCAGTACTCAGACCCAGAACTTACTTGAAACCAATGATTTTGCTTTGTAGAAGGTCTCAAAGATATGTTTTTGTACGCCATAGTGTGTTTTTAGTAAATTGAAACTAAAGCATAAAAATCAGGAAATTTCTAATTTCTTGTAAAACCTGGATGTTTGACTACATTGTATTCACATTCCTACATAGCAGGAATTACATAGAGCTGAGTAGTGACTGTCTCAAAGTGAGGGGTCACAAAACTTGCTCAGCCAGTCAGTTTCAGCCATTTATTGCCTTTGAGGCATTTGTGTTAGGACTGCTTCTCTATACAGATTAAAGTCTTGTTCATTTCTAATTCTCATATTTATTTCATTTTTTGCAGACTCTTTTATCAAGTCTTGTGAAACTGAATAGTCTGACCCTAGCTAGAAACTGCTTTCAGTTATATCCAATGGGTGGTCCATCTCAGTTTTCCACCATTTATTCCCTCAACATGGAACACAATCGAATCAATAAAATCCCATTTGGAATTTTCTCCAGAGCAAAAGTATTAAGTAAGCTGAATATGAAGGTAAGCCTGTGTTTTTTAATTGGGGGGAAGTACACTAAAATATGACTATTGCTAGTACTACTACTAATGTATATGTTTTATTAATTGGTGTGGGGAAAGGTACTCCTATTTTGCTAATAGAGGCTCAGTTGATAAAGATTCTTAAGAGAAATTTGTGTTAGACGGCAAATATATTAAAGTTGTGCATACCTTTAGGAATTTAAGGAGCCTTAATGGTGCTGTGGGTAAGCTTTGGGCTATAAAGTCAGTGGCTCAAACACACCAGCCACTCCATGGGAGAAAGGCAAGGCCGTCTGCTCTTACTGAAGATTGCAATCTCTGAAACCCTGAGGAGCAGTTCTACTCTGTCTTAATAGGGTTGCTGTGAGTCAGAAATGACTTGATGGTAGTGAGGTTTTAGGAGTTTGTCCTAAAGATATAATCATGAATGTCCGTTAAAATATAGTTGAAGGGATACTTATTGCAGATACTTAAACTCTGGTATCAGTTTATATTAGGAATTTAATTTATAAAAAGTAAGGCACCTTTCATGGAATACTATACAACTGATGTGGTGCTGTGAGTTAATACGCCAGACTGCAAAGCCGTTTGAACTACAAGCTCAGTGGTTCAAGCTCACCAGTCGCTCCTTGGAAACCCCATGCAGGGTCGCTATGGGTCGGAACTGACTCGACAGCACTTAACAACAACAACAACAACATAGAAGTCCTGGTGTAGTGTTGTACGATAAGCGAAGGGCCACAAGGTTGGTTTGAACCACAAGGTATGCGGTTCAAACTCACCAGCCTAGCTGCTCCTCAGAAATCCTGTACTCGGCCGCTATAAGTTGGAACTGACTTGATGGCACAACAACAGTTAGAAGTGATAATCTAGAAGATTAAACATCAGTTGAAATACTCAGTTTATTTAGTAATCTTATCCCACATGTAATTTTATAAAGTTCTTTTTTTAGTGTTTTATTGTGAATTATGTGATAGTTTACATGGGAGAACATTAGCTTTACATTCATCCTATCATATATCATTTCATTGCCATAGTTACAATCCCCTCCATGCATCATCAACCAACCAAAGGGTATATATACCCTGATAGCCTGCCCTTTGGTCCTCAGCACACAGCCCCTTTCACTCTCTGGGTCTAGAGTCCCCAGCTGTGCCATCCATGTCATCATGTCTGCCTCCATCTCTGGCGTCACTGTTTCTCTGGGTAGGGTTCCGCACTCCGCTCTTCTCCCTTGATGGTCCCGGGGAATCTCTGCTCCTGGATTGCAAAGCCAACCACTCCCCTCCTTTTGCTATCAGATGTCTATTTTTACATTTCCAAACCTCACAGTCCTGAGAGAAATTATTCACTATTGGACCACAAGAGTCTTATCTCCATCTCCTTATATCAGCCCCACCCAAGACAGATTGGATACTACTCAGTGGAGATTCTATCTTCCTCGACACCCTCTGGATCTAGGTTCCCTCTTGAAAGCTTCTAAGCCAGTCACTTATTGCCTTTGTAGCCCTCCATTTTGGGTAACCAATGTCCAAGTGGCCAGTCCCTGCCTACCCTGTGTATCCAGGAGGGTGAGAATTATCGTCGCTATAAAGATTTGTTCCCTCTTTTGAGCTACGGCATCCATAGCTGTAGGTCAAGTAATTGTATCAGATTACTCTTTTTTTCCTCCTCTTTCTTCTTCTAGTTGAGTTCCGATTGTCCAGCCATTGAAGCCAGGTCAAGTGGATATTACCCTCAAGTGTGGGTGTTCTTATGCATATGCCCTCTCTTCTTATCAGCTGGATGCTTCACTCTCCACTCTAGTCCTCTGTGGCTATGTGACTGACCCTGGGCCTAGGAGTCCCCAGGTCTTGCTATACTTCTGGCAAACCAGGTCTCCACCCAGGTTCACAGGAGTCTATTGAACATTGTAGGGCTTAGCTTTTGCAGCTTCACTGTTGTTTTTCCCTCACTTCCCCTTATTGGTGACCAATAGAACGCATGTCTGCTCGTATATTTCCATTGAGTCTTAGTCTTGGAAGGGGGTTTGCCCTGAGGGGACCAAACCACTTGCCTTGATGGCTCCTTGTTCTTAATAGTAGTCGTTTGGACTGCCGTTATTGGTTTTTAATTTTCCTGTTGGTCTTTCTTTCAAGAACTACCTTCTGTTCTTCTAGCCACTGCAGCCTGGTCTGCTTGTCCTTTCTAGTAGAAATTTCCCACCTCAGAAGATTCTGGATGGGATTCAGGATTCCACCTATAGTCTTATGTAATGCAGAGGCTCTGCAGGAAGCCTCCTTCACTGGGCAAGCTGTAACCTCATTTTAGGTATTCCAATCAGTTATAGGCAGAAGACAAACTTACAAGCTTTCTATGGTGATATTTCTGGCTGTTCCTTTCTCTCCCCCTGTGTCTATTTTATAATGGTGTGCAAGGGAAACCAAGATTCAAAAGACATCTATGCATCTTAACGTTATTTCCCCCGTTTTACCCATTCAAACCATGCCTCAGTCTCTGTTTCCCAGAGCCCTATTGTTCCAAGGTTGTGCATGCATCATTATTTACCTCTGTCCCACTTAGCCCATGCAATGTAAAGTTCTTTTTATTATGCTTGATTGTATATTAAATACTGGAGACATTTGAGACTACAATACTGGGCTACCCTTCAGGCCTGGAATGGAACTCATCCTTGTGGCCTAATTTTCAACCAACTGGTGGATAGATACATAGGAGGGACAACCACACCAGTGAGGTATGCTCACCATAGAATGGTCAACCATTCAAGATTAAAAGGGTAACATTTACTTGGGGATAAGGGCAAGAATGGTTGGGAAAGAGGATGGGCTAGACTAGGTACCACAGGGAGGAAGTAGAATAACTGTAGTTACATGGAGGGGATTACAGTCATTGAGATGAAACATTGTGTGATTTGTTGGATATAAAACTGATGATCTGCTCTGTAAACCTTCATTCAATTCACAGTAAAAAGCTCCCCCCCCCCCAAAAAAAAAAATCCTAACAGAAAAAACAACCTATAACCAGATGAAAATTTTATAAGGATAGTTTTTATTGGGTTTTCTGTATTTTTATATAAAAAAAGGGAATAAAGTTTTGGGCAAGAATTCTCTTTCTAAATCCCCCTGCCATTTAGTCAATAGAAACTCTGTTGGACAGAGTAGAAATGTCCCATAGGTTATCTGAGGCTGTAAATCTTTAAGGGAGCACCCACAGAGTGGCTGGTGAGTTTGACCTATCTGACATTGCAATTAGCAGTTCAATGCCTAACCCACTGTGTTACCAGAGGTCCTGTCTCTTTATATAAAAAGAGTGATCTATATAGGGCTTTATTTTTATGGGTTTCTATCTTGGATGCTTCTTTTTTGTCTTTGCCAGGACAATCAGTTAACATCACTTCCCTTGGATTTTGGAACTTGGACCAGTATGGTAGAATTGAATTTAGCCACTAATCAGCTGACAAAGATCCCTGAGGATGTGTCTGGTCTCGTTTCTCTTGAGGTGAGTCTGAAAGAACATTGAAAATTGCTCATATTCCTTCTACAATTATCTTACTTGGAAAATTCCAAATTAAAATAGGCAATTTCTATTTGGATAAAGAACATAAGATACAGCCCTCTAAAACATGCAGCCCCGTTAGAATTATGAGGTGTTGATTTAATTATTCTAGAATTGATGCTTCTGAATCTCTTTTGCCCACTGAATAGTTGATAGGTTTGAGTGCAGTGACGTATCTTTGAAAGCAAAGGCCCTTAAAACATAGCATCTTTAGTATGCATTGTTTTGTTAACACTGCTTAAGTAGGGGTGGTGTTAAGTGTCATTGAATTAGTTATGACTCATAGCAACCCTGTATAGGGTTTCCGAGGAGTGGCTGGTGGATTGAACCACTAACTTTGTGGTTAGCAGTCTAGTGCTTATCCTATAGCACCACACCAGGACCATTATCTACCAAAATAATTACGAATTCCTTAGACTGGCGTTCATATCTCTTCATTGTACGACTTATCCCACATGCTGGAAAAGTAAGGCTAAGTACTGGACTATAAAACACAAGATCAGTGGTTCAAACCCACCAGCCGCTCCTTGGAAACCCTATACAGGGTTGACACAAGTCAGAGCCAACTTCAGTGGCAGTTAACACCACCACCACTTTATTTCCTAGTCAAATACTTTTCTTTGTTGGAAATGTGATGTCCATATTTCTACTTTCATACACATATAGAATGCCTTCTTCTCATCTCTTAATTTTTGTTTTAAAATGATTTTCCATAACTAAGATCTATTTCATTATCCTTCCTTGGCCAGTGTCATTTCTCCTGTCTAGTAATCCTCGAGTTTTGTGTTTGTACTTCTTTTTTGGTGAAAAAGCTTACCAACAATAGATTTATGTATATTAAAATTTCTTCCTCTAGATTCATGCTTTTTAAAAAAACAATTCTAATTACTTTATTCTCTTATTACTTCATAAGGTGAAATACAAGCATATGCTTTGAAGTCAAGTAAGTCTGGGTGCACTGCTACTTTTGTCTCTTCCTAGTTAGAAGTTAAACAGCCCGGGCTTCCATTTCCTCAGCTTGAAATGGGGATAACAGTGTCTTCCCCACTGGATTGTACTTTGGATAAAGTACATGAAGCAGTTAGTCCAGTGCCCTGCAGTGAGGATTCTTGTCTTGATCTTACTGTGTTTGCTTTGTTGTTACTGTTGTTAAATGTCACTCATAGAAGCCCTGTGTACGGTTTTCAAGCAGTGGCAGATGGGTTTAAATTGCTACTCCTGCAGTTAACTTATCCTACAGTGTCACATCAAGACTTTTTTTTTTTTTTTTTGCCCTTTTGGGAGAAAATAAATAAACACAAAACATTAGCCAGAACTTTATGTAGATTTACAACTCAGTGCTCTTTTCACTACCTCATATCCATTGTTGTCTCCCCAACTCCCCACATCCCCAGTTCTTTACCCCCAGACTGTAGCTTCTCTGAGAGCAGGCACTACATTCCGCAGCCGTTTCCCTGGCTCCAGTACCTTGCAGTTTCCCTTACAATATAATAAGTAAAACCTGTACTGGATTGATACTGTCAGTTTAAACATCAATTATTATCTTTCTTAATGATAATTTGTAGGGATTTTTAATAAATAATGTGATTTCCTATTAGATGGAGATTTGTAGCTATTCAATCTCAAAATACCATTTGTGTGAATCTTAGTGCAAGTAGTTAAATAGTTTCCTTTTTTAAAAAAATGTAGTTAAATTTAAATTACTTTTGCCTTGGAATAAACACAGAAGGCAGGAATGTATAGGGAAGAAGGACAGCTAAAACGAGTTGACACAGGAAGTGAGAAGAGTGCTGTTATATGGTGGGTACTGAAAACATGTCATGAAGCAAAATGTTGAGTGGAAAATCAATATGTTCTGTAGCTTCATTCACATCACAATAAAGTTTGTTTTTTGGTTTTTTAATTTAATTCTTCCCCTTTACTTCATTTAAAAAATATTTATTTCTAACTAATGATTTCTTTTTTTGGGTTACATATTTTATATAATTGAACTTGCTGTTAAATTGTTAAGTATCGTCAAGTTGGTTCCAGCCCATAGCGATCCTGTATAGTGTTTCTGAAGAGTGCAAATTTGCAGTCCAGTGCATTAACCCACAGCACCACACCCCAGAACTCCATATAGTTGAAAGATAAGGCTATCTGCTCCCTTCAGTATTTACTGTTTTGAAAACTTAGAATTGCTTCATGCATTTTTGGGATCCTCTGTGGTAGTGTAGGATAACCACTAGAGTACTAACCTCAAGGTCAGTAGTTCCTACTCAACAACACTTAACATAACCCTACATTTTAAGGCACACAGTAATCGCTGCTGATAATCCTGTTTCCTGACACTATCTCTATCTTTCCTCTTTAGGTTCTAATATTATCAAATAATCTTCTAAAGAAGCTTCCCCATGGTCTTGGAAACCTTCGGAAGTTAAGGGAACTGGATCTAGAGGAGAACAAATTGGAATCCTTGCCAAACGAAATTGCTTATCTTAAGGATTTACAGGTAAAACGTTTATTATGATGGTTGTATAGTTTCTTGATTAATTTTTTTAGAATCCATTCTAAATTGCATGTTAAAAAATATTTTGGTCTCATTAACAAGATTTTCTTATTAAATCATTGATAGGACTGAATTTTATATTTGTAATAGGGGGGCTTCAAAAAGTTCATGGAAAAATTCCATTAACTTTTCATTCCATTTTTCCATGAGCTTTTTGAAGCCTCTCTGTATAACCTCTCTGCTTTTGTGTTCTTGACAAATGACTTCTTTTCTTTATTAGGCTATTCTTGTCTAGTCCACCTAAATTCTATAATGTATTTTATTGGTTTACTGGGTGTCTTATTTTAAGTTTACCTCAGTTGTGGGAAATATATCTATATATATACTTTTATATATATATATATATATAAAACTCTGTTTTATCTTGTTAATCTTTTAGAAATTAGTCTTGACAAACAACCAGTTGACCACTCTTCCCAGAGGCATCGGTCACCTTACCAATCTTACACATCTAGGCCTTGGAGAGAATCTACTTACTCACCTTCCTGAGGAAATTGGTATGTACTCTTTGAATGCTTGGCTTTCTGCTAATGACTGTTTCTTGTATGTTCAAGAAATATTTCAGACAAATAGGACAGATCTATTTTCTATTTTTGTAAACTTAGGTGACATCAGGCTCAAGATTTTTTTTTTTTTTTAATTGAGCCACCATGGATTGGTTGGTTGATTTCTCATGGGATGTTGCTTTTGTTAAGTGCCTTCAAGTCAGTTCTGATTCACACAGACCCTGTATAGGGTTTCCAAGAAGCAGCTGGTGAGCTTGAACCACCGACCTTGCAGTTCAGACCAACCTTGAAGTCCAGTGCATTAACTCACACTGCCACACTGAGTGGTTTCACATTATTTCATGTAATCAACATGATCACTTTGAATTTTTGTTTTTACAAAGAAAGAGTTGTCACTTAATAAGTAAATTTGTTGTTAAGTGCTGTTGAATTGGTTTCTACTCATAGTGCTCCTGTATAAGGTTTCCGAGGCTGTAAATCTTTTCAGTAAGTCTCGTCTTCTCCTGTAGAGTGAGTGGTGAGCTTGAACTGCTGACCTTGTGGTTCATAGTCAAGTGATTTTCCTACAGAACCACCATACTCCCTTAGGAAGATAAGTGCTGTTAAGTGCAAGTTGATTCCAACTCATAGTGACCCTGTATAGAGTTTCTGAGGAGTGGATGGTGGGATGGAACCGCCAGTCTTTCAGTTATCAGTCCAGTGCTTATCCTACAGGGCCACACCAGTAAGTAAATCCCTTGTATTATGGTCTCGTATTATACTATGCAGGAGCTCTGGTAGCCGTAGTGGTTACGAATCAGGCTGCAAACTGCATGGTTAGCAGTTCAAAACTGCCAGCTGTTCTACAGGAGAAAGATGAGGCTTTCTGCTCCCGTAAAGACTTACAGGCTTGGAAACCCTGTACAGGGTCGCTATGGGTCGGAACCAACTCCACGGCACATAACAGCAACATTATACTGTGCTGTCCCATAGGAACTACTATAGATTAGTGGTTAAGAATGGATTTGGGAATAAAATAGAAATTGAATATCTAGCTGTACTGCTTACTGGCTTTGTGGGTTTAGACAAGGTGTGCATAAGCTATCTAAGCCTCAAGTTTTGTATTTGTAAAATAATAATAGTAACTTCCCAAATGGTTGTTTTGAAGATTAAATAGTATCTTACATGTAAATGAATTCATTACTTGCTACTTTTAGTATTATTAATCTACATGCTTCTGATATTTTATATATAGACGTTTAAAATTTTGAGCTACATGATGCAACTCTACACTGGTATTTCTGGTATATTCAACTGACTTCACATAATTGATTGAAGCATTTGCCTAGATAGTACAGTATCCTGAGGCAATCTAAGGAATTTTTTTTAACATACTACATATATAAATTGGTTTTTTGCTAAATGCCAGATATGTGTTAACCTCTAGTGAAGAGCTTTTATATATGAGAAAACTACTAAGTATACATTTGTCACATTGTCTATAAGAGAAGTTATTCTAAACACAGACTGTGTAATAAACTCTTCTCCGGGCTTTGAAATGAAATCTAAGGATATCAAGCTGTCCCACACAATCTGTGGGGTTGGAACATGTGTATTTATTTGAAATTTTCAAGCTTGAAAACGAATGATAAATAAAGATTTCCTCTTAATACTGTTGGTAAATGTCGTCAACTCAGTTCTGACTCATAGTGACCCTGTATAGAGTTTCCAAAGAGTGGCTGGTGGGTTTAAACTGCCAATTTCGTGTTTAGCACTTGAATGATGATCCTGTCTCTCCAGTTGATTTTAAATATACAGCACAGGTTGAGGTCCACGGTTGCAGAGTTTTCAAATTAAGAAAAGAGGAATGGCGTGTTTCATGTTTATAATGCCCAGAAAGCATTATACCTAGTTGAACTTTTTAAATAATAACTTGTTTTGTTATATATAATCATTGATTTCCTTTTTAAAAAACAGGTACACTGGAGAACCTAGAAGAACTGTATTTGAATGACAACCCCAACCTACATAGCCTTCCCTTTGAGCTGGCTCTCTGCAGCAAGCTTTCAATCATGAGTATCGAGAACTGTCCGCTCAGTCACCTTCCACCTCAGATTGTTGCTGGGGGACCTTCTTTCATCATCCAGTTCCTCAAGATGCAGGGTCCATATCGTGCCATGGTCTGATACAAATCCACTGGTCCCACACACTGTTCAAAAATAGACTGCCATTAATGTCTCATATCTTTATCTGTATCTATTTATGTAGATATTGATATATATGGCAGATTTATAAAGACTGCATTATGTGTTTTATGCTAATAGAGGAATCATAGCCATTTAGATTTTTTTTTTTTTAAATTCTGTATAAAAGCTTATATAAGTTTTCTTTGCTGAACTTGATGGATGTTTTTCTCTTGTGTAATCTGATATGCCAGTATGCTTAAGACATTTGCCAACAAATTATCAAGTTATTAAATTTAAGGACCAGAGGTAGTATAGTTAGGTATACTTTCTCTTGGAAAAAATAATGGGGCAGTTTTGTTGCAACTTTTCATATACACTTTCCCTTTACCAATTGTCATACCTTTTTCGTATTACAGACCCTGAGGTAGAATTTTTCTTTAACTTATTTTGAAATTTGAGATTTAAATTTTATATATTGTTTACAGTCAGAGTAAATCGCTGGATTAATTTTTTTTAAGTTTCGATTTGCTCTGTGTTAATCCAATCTAGAACTTCCTATCTTCTGCTAAAGATCTTGAATTGGCTGGTTTAAATATGAAAAGAAACTTGCTGAGACAGTCAGCAGAGTGAAAGGATAGAGAAAAAATTCTAGACTTCCCTTCATTGTGTTTCTCTGATAACAGTTTTAAACAAAATCTCTGAAGTGAGTCTTTAGCTGGGGGGAGGATGACAGGACCATTTCTATTATAAATATATTCTTAAGTTTTGAGAAACAAAACTTGGGGTGAAAAGTTTTCATTCCTGGAAGTTGCAGATCCAAAACAACAATTTGGCCAAAAAAAAATTTACACTTAGACACACACATTCTATATATGTATATACAATGCTATACAGATATGTATTTATTATATCATAAACTACAATAGGTAACTTTTAAGGATTTCTCCCTATCCTTGTACAAAGAAATGAATGTCTCTCTTTGAACACTGCAATATATGTATGTTTCAAGGTTATTTAACAGTATACTATGGTTTTATATCTTGCCTTGCCTTGTACACCTTTCAATTCTGGAATATCTGCGTCTAAGCACAATATCTTCACACTGTGCTGTGTTGCTGCTGAACTAAATGCACTTTTTCCCACATGTGGGGCCCTGGCTTCACACAATTCAGTTCAGTACCATTAATTTTAATCTCATCTTTTCCTTTCTTGGTAGTTGTTACTACAGTTCTTGAAAAGAGGCACATTGCATAGAAGCCATTGATAGTTAAGTGGAAGTTCTGTAAGCTATGCATGTGCTATTTGATATCTTTCCTTTGTTTTACTGCTTTTTAAGACTAGCAGTATTGTAAGTGTGTGCCCCTATACAGTACTTTTACTTCTGGTAGTGTTGGTCAATTGTTGACGAGACTCTAAGAGCAAGTACCTTCTAGACAGCATCCTAAAGAAACCATTCTCATATAATGGATGAAGTATCCTTATGTATTGCTGCTTGGTTTTGTTTTGTTTTGCCATTTAGAGATGGGCATTGTGTTTTAAACAAAACATTTTAAAACTAAAGCTATAAAATAGTAAAATATAAATTTGGAGTGCTGTTTTATTTTTTCCTGGTATACACATTCAGTACTAGATTTGAGGTTGAACCTATGTTCTTAATTGGCATTTTTGTAAGGAGCAGTGTAGAAATGGAAGGCAGGTGAAGATATAAAACCCTAGAATGCTTAAATGTGCTGTAAAACTATTGTAGATGTCACTGGATTTTACCAAGTAATATCCTTCCTTTTTTCCATCTACTGTGGCTTTTCAGTTAAAATTTTGTTTATAAAAGAAATTTGTTTATTACAGCTCTATCTAGAGTTTGTGTGTGTGTGTGGTTTTTTAAATCTCGCATCCAGGTGTGTTTAAATATTAAGGTGATGGAACTTGAATTTTAAAGGCAGTAATATAATGTCTTTTCTTGAAAAACAATAAGGGTGGCTGTTTTGTAAAATGAAAATAGAGACAGTTTTTTTTAAAAGCATCTTGGTTCCCCGATCTCTATTTGTACTGGTCTATTATAGGAGTGTAAAACAATCACAATCTTATACGTCAAAGCGGTGCTACGTGAATGTCTGTGCAGAGGTAAGGGAACATAAAACATGTCTTCTGTAGTGTAGCGCCCACCTTGGCCATAAATTTCATTACTGCTTCACCATGAAACGCCGATGTACTCTAATTACGATGTCCTTGTGATAGCAAGATATTTAATAGGTTTGTTGTTGTTTTTAAGTGCCGTCAAGTCGATTCCCACCCATAGCGACCCTGTATAGGGTTTCTGAGGGAGCAGCTGGTTAGCTTGAACCATTGACCTTGCAGTTCAGTCAGCTTTGCAGTCTGATGCATTAACCCACAGCGCCACACCAGGACTCCATTTAATAGGTAGATTGTGGAAATACACAAGGAGACTTCAAAAAGTTCCTGTAAAAATGAGATTAAAAAATAATGGAATTTTCCCACAAACTTTTTAAAGCCCCCTTGTATTAAAGGATATTGTTGAATGACTATGAATGAGCTAATACTTTTCCTGAAACTGCAATGGGATTAATTGATATAACCAAAAGTTCTTTTAAAGAAAGTGTGTTTAGTCTTTCCATGAAGTTGATATGAGTAACTAAAATGACAAGAATGTCATAGAATGCAACATTGCTCTAAACTTTGCTTTTTGTTAATGTATAGTATTAGTATAGCAAAAAAGCAATGGTAGTGACAAAGAGGCCTTCTTTTATGAGAGTTTAATGCTTTTTATGCTAAGTCATCATTTCATACAAAATAAAAGGGAGATGCTAAACTATTTATGGACTTAATGCAGTAGAAGATAGAAATTCTTGGAGGGGAAAATACACATAAAAAGGTAGAAGACAAGCAACTGCCTTCCCTCTTACTGTATCCTGCCTGACGGTTAGGACAGACCTAGCTATCAATTTCTGTCCAATCTCTTTCTTCCCCCATGAAACAAGGCATTTAGAATCATGCCTACTCTCCAGAGGAGAGGATACCACACTTCAGACAGGCCAGTGGACAACCTGAAGTCCCATAGCTAATCACATAAGAAGAGGGAACATTGGCTTCCAAGCAGCCTTAAGAAGGACCCACAGAACAGGAAGAATGGATCTTCATGAGCAGATTTACAGACATCTGAGGGTAGGGCAACACTGCCCAAGTCTTGATATGTTTGCCATTACTAAAAGACCTGAAAGGGATTACCTCATTTTAGGAGACTCAACATAGAAACCTGAAATCATGTATCCAAAATTTTACAAGTGGCAGAACCAGGCTAGAACTGAGAAGCCTCTCTGATTTTAACACACATGAAAAAGGCCTTCCCTACATCCATGTTGGCTCATGTTTTATATATATATATAAAAAATGAGCTCTAAAAATGTAATTGCATACTTCTAATTTATCTTGTGCAGCCCAAATCATCTAAAGTGGATTAGTTGTTTTGCATAAGTTTATCTAATTCTTTGGTGAGAACCGTCTGCTTTACATCTGAGTTATTTCTAAGTCGTGTATTGAGTCATTATAGCTTTCAGAAGTGTAACTTATCAACAAGAATGGGTCATGGGTAAGTGCAAAATGACACTTTATTTCAGCTTTCAGAAGTGTAACTTTTATCAACAAGAATGGGCCATGGTTAAGTGCAAAAATGAAACTTTTGAAACCGAAAGTGGGCACTGTTTGTTCCAGTTGGCATAAATTAGAACTTTCTGGTAAACCAGGGTATGTTGTCACTGTTTCATGAGTACAAGTAGACAAATACACAGCATAATCTAAAATAATAAAGAGAAGAGTAAGTCCCTGAGCTTTACCAAATTTAACTAAGTCAGTTGTGAATAAAGGCTCTCTAGCCTGTTCCCAGAGGCAAGATCATAAACCAAATATCTTAGATAAAACTTTTTCATTCTCTTGACCCTCCTGTCCAGTTTAGCTGGTTTAGTCAGTTAGAGGACTGTTGGCAAACACATGACAGTCCATCTTTGATGGTAATTCTTCGACCATCTGAATATGCAAGAGTGGTGACACACTGACTTGGTATCTACAGAAGTATCTTGAATGTTTTGTAGAAGTATTCTGAGAATGTGTTGTAAAATGGCATAATTATTGATCAGACTGCCTTCTAAACCTCATAATTTTGAGGAAACATTTGTGAGGTTATTTTTTAACTTTGAAAAATAAGCTATAAAGGAAGAGTTTGTAGAGTTGTCGTTTTTAAAAACGAGTTGGTCATTACCTTTAAAACGTATAAAAGCCCTCATTACTTGTCAGTTACTTCATTGACAGTTTATATTCTGAATATATGCGGTTTTGAATGTAGATACCCATTTGTGAGTTTCAGCCCGGACCTTTTCACAGTGTGGTAAGAGGAATAGTCCCCAGTGTGGGGAGTGGCCAGAGCAGGACCCTCAGGGAGGGGGTTTTCAGGTTGTGTAGAGTACAACACTACATGTAGTTCTGTATATTAGTATTTCTCAGCACATGTTAGCAAAATTCCTAATTACAACAAACTCCGTATATGGTGTCAACTTTATGTCAGATGGAAGAGTCTTAAGGAAGAAATATTTTTCCCTCACACAAAAGTGCCCTGTGGCCTGAGTGACAGTTTTAAGCAGGGAGGTGTAATTTGTGTGTTAGTTAATAAATCTTCACCTTTAGCAATCCTAATAATGAAAATAGTATTTTAAGCATTTTATATGTTTTAAGTAATTGCATATTTCTTTTTTATCTCGTGCAATCCTGAAAATGGTCTGTTTTAGAAAAACTCATCAGAGTCTATGGATGTTTTATCAGTGACCATAATTATTTAGATGGCCTGTGTATTGTCCTTTACCTTTTTGCTGTAATGATGTTTGCATGGAAAATCAAACCTTCCACAAATCAGGTGGGGCTTAGTTGCACAGTTAACATATGTTACCATTCTCTCTTCATGATATTGGAAGAAATGATTGATTACTCAGTAAATCTATTCCTCTAGCTAGCTGGTGTCAGCTAGTACAGGGGATATTAAGTGCAAAGCTCAAGTCATGTTTTAAATATTAATATCTAGTTACAAAGTATATATGTATATATATTTTTTTCTCATTTAATGCTTTTCTCCTTTCCACCTCAAAACCCATTTTAATGAGTTCAGAAAATTGTCTTGTTATTGCTAAATAAAATGCAACAAAGCATTTTTTTATGGTTAATGTTGTTGTTATTGGTAAGTGCTGTTTGGTCAGTTCTGATTTAGGGTGACCCTGTATATAATGTTTACAGAGGAACG